CTTTTGAGACAGGGTCTCCCTGTAGTCCTAGCTGGCCTGGAACTCACTATGTAGACCAGGCTGGCCTCAAACTCAGAGATCCTCATGCCTCTGCCTCCCAAGTGCTGTGACTAAAGGCATATGCCACTACGTCCAACTCAACTAATATTTTTATAAATACTTATACACTTAAGAATTTCTTAGAATAAACATTTAAAATGGTTTGCTATTCCCATCTCCCCACACAGATGCTGCCAGGGGAAGGATTTAGCACAGAAGCAAGCGAATCTGTTGTTAGGAGCTCCACAGGTCCATGAACCAGCCACCTTAAACACGGCCACAGAAAGACTCCTGAGCCATTTCACAGTCCATCTGGAGAACTATTCCACTGTGGAGACTCCGAGCATAACTTTGTTTCCAGTAGCTTCCTTATGCAAACCCTGGCAGCAGACAAAACACACTTGTTAGAGCTTTACCCAGCAAGGAAAACTGACACACAGGGCTTTACCTTAGGTATGTGTTGGCTAAATGGAGAGTGCTGTCCCACTGGTCGCTGATATCAGCAAGGGTCTCCTGAACCAATGGGGCCTCACAGTGCTTGGCTTGTTTCATTATGGTCTGGATTTTGGCGTCACCTTCAGGCTTCAGTAAAATGATTTCCTGAAATAAAAAAAAAGTCCTACAACTTCATTTGTGTTATTTAGGGATATCAGATATGAAATCTTTTTAATGTGTTGAGTTCTACTGATACGCTAACTGCTCAATATATTTCACAATAACCCCTTCATTCTCATATACAATGACAAAGATACCCTCGCTTCTCAGTACACACAGTGGGTTCTTAAGAAATATGTATTGGTTTCACCTAAGAGTTGATTTTCAACTTATTTTCATATGTCAAAAAAAAAACCCAGGCAAATCCTCCTTCCTATCCACTTAATATTTACATGTGAGTCACGGTAACAACCCAAACATGACATTTTCATGTATGGAAGAAGAAACTTGTGGCTTCCCGCAGGAAAAGTGTCCCTCATGTCCACCATTTCCTCTACCTTGACAGTTTGCATTCCTTGTTCTTTTCCCTCCTTTGCTCTGATAAAAATAACTTCTTGCCTTCTGGGAAAAGCCACTCAATTCTCAAATTCACATTCTCTGGTAACATTTAGAGACATAACTCCAAAAGATTCTGATCACTCAGTCTTACCAATAGTTCTAGCTCACTACTCGGCATCATTTTTTCAATCAACAATACTCCCCCATGACAACAGTACACACATGCACTGCTGTCCCTTTGACTAGTGACATTTATGATTCTTTCCTTGGCTGGAGAGACAGCTCAAGGGCTCATGAGACTCCCGTGCCCATCACACCAACTGCAGAGCTAGTAATGCTCTATGAACATGGCTACCCACTCGAAAGATTCCTCTCCATCCTCGGCATCACTGAGGCGTCTGTTCTACTGGTATAGACTGTATCCCAGCAGACTTCCACCTGCTGTGACTTTCATTCATGATTTTATTTCTTTTTTTATTTCTTTTTTATTATTTTATTTTGAGTATGAGTGTATTGCCTGCATGTATGTGAGTGCACCCGTGTTGTGCAATGCCACAGAGGTCAGAAGAGAGCTTGGGATTCCCCTGGAACTGGAGTTAAGAACGGTTCACAGCCGCCATGTGGGTGCTGGGAATTGAACCCAGGTACTCTACAAGAGCA